TTTCCTTTCCTTTCCTTTCCTTTCCTTTCCTTTCCTTTCCTTTCCTTTCCTTTCCTTTCCTTTCCTTTCCTTTCCTTTCCTTTCCTACCAGAAAACAAGAAATTAGAGCAATTCTTAAATCAATCTAGGGCTCTAACTTCAGTCTCTGTTAAACAGAAATATAAGTCAACAGCAATTATGCTCTCAATGGGGGAAAACAGTGAGCCTGGGTACACTGATGAACTGGGATAAACATGGACTGGAAAGAACACTTTGCTTTAGAGTTTTGTAAATCTATTAATTGCTCTTAGTGCTCTCTGTGTTTAAGTTGGTCAGGGGAAAGCTGCCTAAATCAATGATTTGAGAGACAGCATTTCCCTCGTCACACAACGTGAACAGCATTAGCACATGCCCCCAACAAGTCACCCTAAGACAGGAAGGAAGAAAGGGACCTGATGCCTCTTCTTGGATATTCCAAAGTGATGGGTAAGTACACAGCCTTATAAGCCTGGAAATACCTTCTCCAACCCTGAAACTTCCTTTTCAGACGCTGGGGGAAAAGCAACACAGACCTGACAACTACCAAAACTAAGCCAACACAACTTACACAGACTAAAATAAAATTAATCACTGTTTCTTCCTTTTTGCAGATAAAATGCATGCTAAATCCACTTGGGTCATAGGACGAGAAAACAAAATCGACTGAAGGCAATCCCTATTATTACAGCTCAAAGCATTCTTTCTTGTCCTATCAAGAAATAATTTTGAAGCAGTCTATTTAATTTTTGTTAGCAGTGTTCTCCGATCAAATCCTGTTTTCAGCATGACCCCTTATGTCTCTCTCTGTAAAAAGACTTTTTTAATCTGTGTGTACAAGTTCAACTATTTTACTATCTATATTCAATCAAAAGTGATACTGTGATTGAGAATGCAACTGAGTAATTATTTATATGTCAGTAATCATATATGAAACCAGGCAGGCATTTCATTCCACATTAAAATAAGATGGCTTTCACCAGAGTAGACAAAATTTCACAGTGCCATGACACAACTGTGTCACACTCTGCATTTATTTTATTTACTGTTGCTAAAAATGCTTAGCTCTCCTCCTACTTGCCCCATCAGTTGTCCCACAAAAAAAGACACAGAAAATCAAAACCGATAAAGATAAATTAAAGCAACACATGCTGTCACATTGCTGGAAACTTGTCAAGGAAAGGCAGACAGGAAAATTACATTCTTTTTCTTTCAATCATCCTTGATTTGAGGGTTGCTGGCATCAGAAACCTCTGTTAATTTTTGTCTGCTTTCAGAAGAGAAATGGCAAAGAATGAGCATCTGAATTCCTTCTGTCCCAAATTGAGTTTGGAAATGTTTCTTACAACTGGGGTCCTGCCAAGTCTTACAAAGTGTCCATCCTGATTTGGAGGTGGTTTTCATTCCCACTAGTACATGTCTAAACTAAGACATCTTCTTTCAGATTTCCTAGTTCTAGTAAGATTTTTTTTTTTAATCAGAGCTAATTTATTTCTAATAGAAGGACTGCTGATTTTATAGCATATTTTAATTGTCACTGTTTCTTCTTAAATGCCCAAAGTGGCATTAACTTTCTTGCTTAAGATACTTTTATATAAAGCTAAGATGACAGTGCAAGTTTGAGGAGGAGATTGCATATCCTTCCTTTTCCTTGCATTCTGTGCAATGACTACAAAGTGAGTGGGATGTCTGCAGCCCATAGAGGTGATTTGCTCTGCAAGAAAGTGCACAGCAGAGCAAGAGCAGGGGGCAAGGGCAGAGACAGTCCCAGCCCTACTAAAAAGCTGAGCAGCAGCAGAATCCAAAGTGTATTTGTGTCCTTGAAGTTTTGAACTGCACAGTCTCTAGCCTTTGCATGTATGAAAGAATATTCTCAGTTTACACTTGAAATCTCTGAGGATAATTTATTTGCAATGCCTGATGTGTTGGTTTTTGGTGGAGACCAAACCATGAAACCCGAGCACAAAAAATACAAACTGTGCTTATTACAAAGTTAATTTTTATTTTGTGCCACATGAACCAGTCTTGGAATTTATCTCATCTCCATGAAACCTATGTAAAAACATTCATGTGAGAACAAAAGAGTCAAGAACTTGGAATATTCAAGTGGCCAATGTGAAGCTTTCCCAGTGTTGCATTTTTAAAAGATATTTGTTTGATCACAAGAAGTGGAGGCCAGGATGCAAAGCTGCAGCAATCCAAACATTCAGAATGCATAACTGTCCATCTCTACCCACTCAGACTACCACCACCATTAAAAAAATGGAACCAGAACTTTCTCCATCAGCAAGATTTGATGTGATTCGTGGAAGGGAGGAAGAGGAAAGATTAATCATTGTTTACCACTGCTTTTTCTATTGAACAGATAAAGGACAGCTTTAGCTGTCACTATAATCATACAACAGGATACTTATTAGTTCATCATTAAACTTCTCTTGCATGGTTATTACCATCTCATTTAAACCCTTGAGTCATAACCCAGGACTCTCCTGTGGTACCACGAGACAACAGAGAACAAAAAGTTTATGCTGCAAAGCACTTACAGTCAACAAAACAGGTGGGGTGAGAAAGACTTGGCATGGAGACTTCTGTGAGAGAATTTTCCTGTAGGGACCAGTTTTCTTTTCTACTTTGCAATTCCCTAGTGCAATTCTTTCACTGTGAGTTTATTCTTCCATCATTTCTGAGCTGCTGTTGATCTCACATGAGCTCTTTAGTTCTCTGTGCAACTCTCCTCTAGCTGTTTCCTTATATGGCCACTCTACAGAACACAAATGTTAGCAAATTTTGGAAATTTCAATAATAATCATAGCAGGTTACTTTGCTTTTAAATTTTTAAAAGCATGAATAAGCATGTTAATACCTTTGGGGATACTCTCTAAAACATAAAATACATTAACAATAACAATCCTACCTATATATTTCAAAGCTGTATTTTGCATAAAACCAGCTACAAATGACAGTGTATATTAATACACTGTTTGAAATAGGCTTGAGTGACATCCTTGCCCTTTGTAACCTATTTAACATCTTCATGCAGGTCTGAACAGTTCAGTTTATACATGTATTCAATTAAATAAAAATCCCACAAAAGCTGATGGCTGACCTTCAGATGTTGGGGGGGGTTTGCAAACAAAATACAGATTTTGTGGTGTGGTTTTATCCTCCATAGCATGGTACTACCAAACCAGCTGCTCATGAGGGGCAGCCCCTTTTACAGTCTCACTTTGGCACAGAAGAGATTGTGAGGACACATGGGGACGTATTAACCAGAGAAAGAAAACGAGCACCCTGTGGCTTTTTGGGGAAAAGGCCCTGTGAGTGAAGCATTGGGTGTTGCTCCCTGCCTAAGGAACAGCACCAGGTTAGAAACATTTAAGAGCTGTTCTGAAAAGACAGTGGATATTTAATTAAGCAATGTGATTTCTCAAAGCATAGTAGAGATAAGGTAGTACACACACAAAAAAATTTATTTAGTGCAAGTCAAGCCTTGCATTTATAAGCTAGAGGGTTTGAGGCTGTGCATAGGAAAAAAAAGTCCTCTAGTTTGCTGGTTAATATGAAGATCAAGTTCCAAATGTGCCTTTTGTACAAGGTAAACCTGTTTGGCCTGACTAAATCATCACATGGATTCAGGATGATACTACACCTTTCTTTCTGATATTAAGAATGCTTCTCTAGTTTGGTCCAGAAGATGAACTCTGAGGTTTAGTCTTAATGAGCTGGTGATTTTTTCAGATTCTCAGAACTCATTTTAGGAAACTAACTGTTCTCTGTGGAAGCTAAAAAACCTCAATCAGGAATTTTAAAATTCAGTATTAAAAATATTTTTCACTCTAAGGTGAAGGTAGAATGGAAGTAGTGAAATGGCTATATTTTATTCCCTTCTTGAAAAAAAAAACCTGAAAATTACAGAAATTAAGAAACTTCAGCTTATTGTGTTTATTGTAATACTGTCTGAGGCATGAGCTATAATAGTTCTTGTTTCTAAAATACAAACAGATGTAGATGAATCTCTGCAAACAGGAAATTCCTTAGTCTCTGTGAAAGTACTGAGGGGCCTACTACCTGGATCCATTGAGAGCTATCTTGGCCAGAAAAAGCTATCTATCTACGCAGTCAGAAAAATGTAAATATCAGATAAATGTAAGCTGGGTCCAAGAAGGGGAGTTTTGGGTCATTTGTACAGGTGGCAGTGCCTCCACACTGGGAAGAGCTGCTGCAAATAGAGGTGCCTGGAACTGAGGCACAAAATGTAAATGTCAAGGAGGAAGGCTGAGACTCCAGGCAATCTGTTGGAGGGACTGGAATCAGTAAGGTGAAAAAGGTTGGGTGAACTTTAGGGACTGAGAGCTTCCTTAGCACGGACACACCACTGCAGGTGCCTAGCCTGAATAGCAGCACAGCTCCTGCACCAGACATACTCAAGAAATAAAAGTCTGAGCAGAACAGAATGGACTTAAGGGATGCCACAGGGTCACTGATATTTCACGAAATCCCAACTCTGCTGATGAAGCAGGATTTTGCAGGAGCTTCTGTGATCTAACTCAGAGTTTCCAAAACGGATTTCAAGTACACAGATGTGAAAATGTACCAATGGAAGAAAGAGTGGAACTACTGCATCTTGGGTGAAAACCAAATCCCACTCATTGCTAACTCCCAAGGCTGATAACTCTGCCAAAATGAAATAAAACAGGGCAATGCCAGTGAATTTTTGTCACTTCCAGAGATGAACTGAAGCTTTCACTGTGCTTAAGGCCATGTCTGGAGTGCAAAGAATGCTGCCAGTCACCCTCCCGGGGCTGTCAACAACCCACAGGGCCAGCACTTGCTGGAGATGGCACAACTGAGATATTCCAGATTTACATAGAGTTAAAATCACAGCAGACAGCAGGTACAACAGATACCTGCACACCTACAATCAAGTACAAAAAAATGCATGTCTATCACCTACTACTTAACAGCCTTGGCATGGCAGTTACTTGGCTTTCAAGCATCAGCTGGCTGAGAATGTCAAAAAACACTCTACCTGACAAGGAATCTCTCTTTAAAAATCTGGTTTGTGGAAATCTCTTTATGATAGGGAATATCACAGCTCTGAGCAAACCTGGGCTTGGCTGGAAAATAACAACATTGACAGAGCCCTGGACCTTCCTTCCTGACGGCACAGAAGGATTGAGAGCTGGGGAAAAAATGAGATAGTTCAGCTAAGAAGTGCTTGAACTGGACTATGTATTGGTGGCCAGCACTACTATGCCACTGATTTCTGAAGATGCCCAAAGTCAGAGAAGAAGTCTCATGACATCAGAGTCCATCCCTTCCAAGCTGTATTGATACTGCACTGAATAGATGAAATTTTAGCCAAAGGTGGACAAGGTTTGGAGAAAAGGATGATTACTGCTTTCAGAATGGCAAACATTTCATCTAGGAGAAATTCTGCAGTGACGAAGATGAGCCATCCCTGGAGTTTCTTTAACCATAACCATCATAACTTGCTTTTTTCCCCTCTACTGCACACTTGGTATTGCTGCTTCAGAAAACTGTGGGTATCTGAGCTGACTCAGCAGCTGTTGAGAGAGAAGAGTATGAAATTGGTGCAGCAGTGATGAGACAAACAAAAGCAAGACATAAAGATTTTATGTCAGATCAATGTAAGAATAACTAGTTATTGGTCACTAACACAACAGAATTCTGTCCATAAACCTTCTGTTTCGTTAATCTTGAGATTGTTATGGGCTTAGGTCTTCAAAGAGGCAAGAGCAGTTGCTAGTTGCTTTAAAGTTGTTTATTTGTAGAGGCACATCAGTCTCAAATGACAAAGTCCGTGCTAAAAGTTTTGTGGCATAGAGTCCTGAGTAGCAGCAGGGGCAGCAGTTCTCTGGTACAGAGTCTGGAGCAGAGGCAGGAGCAGCAGCTGCCTGGTGGGGAGTCCCGAGCACAGAAAGCAGCAGCAACTCTCTGGTGTTTCTTCTTCTGTCCTTCTCTTCTTGTTTTTTCCTCTTCTTCTTCTCCTATGTGGCAGTAGTGTGGACACACACATTTAGAGAGCTAGGGAATTACAGCTTGGAAATCCTTTTCAGGCCTGGATTTCTCCTGACTCTCAGGTCCATTCCCAGGCTGGCAAGCTGACTACAGCTTCAGTTAGGGAGGAAGTCTCCCAGGGTGATAATATGGTGAAAAACAGAGTGGAATTCATAATAAAGATTAACACCTGGTGTCTTTCCCGTGGGACATCCGGACATGCTGTCCCAGGGATGTTTTTCCCAATTGTCCAATGAACTCCTGTCCTGTCCTAGCTGCACATAACACACTTTAAATACAAAACGTCCGTACAATAAAGTTGGCCTTTTTTCCCCAAAAGAGGTCCGTGTGTGTTGCTGTCTTTTCTCTCTCTCTGCAGCGCAGTAACCACATAGTAGTGATGATGATGATGATAAAAGATGTAAGAGGTAATAATGCTAGTGCCACACTCATCCTCATTATAGCTCTCTTGACTCCTGTGATTAGTAAGGAAGAGGTATTTGCTTATTAGGATAAACTAAGTATATGGAAAGATGATTGTTTCATAACAGTTTAAAACACCAAAAAAATCTGGCTTTCATCTGCAGATGGGGCATGCACTGATACACTACACAAGCTCTAATTATCCTCTTGTGATTATAATTACAGGAATGCCACTCACTTGTATTTAACATTCTTAGTAGTGAACTATTTACATTCCCCTGTATTCAACCATAATATTTGGTACAAGCTACCTCTGCAAAGTTTTCATAATCAGCACCACTCTGGAAACAGCACATCCAAAGACCTTTATGGGTCTGAGTGGAAATCCTAATTTAGACCATGAGGTATCCAAAAAGGTCTGTTAGGAACTCTTCACCTTTAACAGCAGAACTGGCCCCACTGCAGCACTTGGCCTTGGCTGCTGCAGGTATTTTGAAGTTAAATCAGCAATTCTTAAGGGCAAGGAGCCAGCTGTTTTGTACACAAGCATCCCTACAGATGCTCCACTACTTGCACACTCTAAGGTGCAGTGGATATCTCTCTTATTCTTCCATACCCATCATTAATAAAGTTCATTTAAGGTATGAAATACACAACAAAATAAAGTGCTAAATTATTTAATGTTCTTATTTATCCTGAGAGATGAAGGAGCATAGCCTAGCAATAAGGGCAAATGTCAGTCTAGTCTGTTCTCAATTAAATACATATTATCTCACACTGATCTAATGGAAGCCAGGATTTCTCTTGAAAATTCACAGTAAAGCTGAGAAGCAATGTTTTTCTCACCTGCCTCTTTTTGTCTTCACAATTGTGAAACCTATTCAGTGTAAGTTTTTAAAAATGTTTGTAATTTATCACTTAGGGTTTAAACAAACTCAAACTCAGACCAAACCCTGGTGGAAATGGTTAAAATGAGCCCATATTAAGACACACATTGTTTGAATACTGAAAGCAAAACCTAGAATACATTGATTTTTATTGGAGATTCTACTTAACTTAAACACTATTATAAGATGCATATTACAAGATACTCCTCAGATTTGCTGTTTCCTAACTAATCCTAAGAGGAAAAAAAGCTTCTTTAGTGCTTGGTTTGGGTTTGTTTTTTTTAAATAAGACAGTATCAGACTTTTTTTATCAGACAATAATCTGATAATTATTTTCCATCCTCTCATGGCAGCACCCAATCACCAGTCTTGTTCTCAGGATATAAACATATCCTGTGTAGTTGTAATCTTTGCTGTATCAGGCACTGAGTGTTAAATAGTTTCATACTATTGTTCTCGTTCAGAAAAACCCATCCTCTTGACACAGAGCTCACCTTTACTTTTTAGATAGGATATCATTTCCTTCATTAAGGAGGGACTAGTTTGCCTTTGTTTTTGTCCTTCATACTGTCAGGGAGGAAAAAAAAGTAACGTCCTTTAAATGTTATTTATAGACAGACTCAAAAGACAGAACAATCTGAGCAAAAACCTGAGAGAAATCTGAGAGCACATATATGTTAAATTTCACAAATGAAGGCACCTGTACCAAAGAAGAGATTCCTTCGGAACTCTAACAGGCACTGAATGAAAAAGTGAAACAAGTGACTTGGATTTCTATCCAAAGAGCCATTCCTAAACACTTATTTCTTACCAAGAAAGCTGTATAATGCCCCTGTGCCCAGAAATAAATAAGAAATAAATAATATTTGCTGGGCTGAAAGGGAGGGAAGGAAAGGGCAGCAGAATGATATTCCAAGCTAACGTCCTCCCTGCTTGAGATTGGTTTTGCTTAATTGAGTTCCCCACCCTTGGCATGTCCCAGCTGAGCTGTGTTTAACCACAACTGGCTGATGGTGGATTTGGCTGGACACTCCTGGTGGAACAGGGTTTCCAGGCAGCTTAAAGGCAGGCAAGGAAGGAGTCCCCAGGAAATGCTTCACGTTAGGTCTTGATCAAGGGATGCTGCAAGTTAAGGAAACTTCTACCATGCAGATTTTTCTTTGTCATTTGTTTCTTTTTAAGCCACAGTGTATGTATAATTAAAAGGATATTGTACTATTTCTTTCGAAGGCAAAGAAATGCAGCGAGATTATTAATGCTTTCAATTATTTGAAATTAGGTTTCTTTCTCTTTCATGAGTGAACAGTTGAGGCAATAAAATCAAGCATTTTTTGGCTCAAGACAGAACAGAAAATTCTGTAATTATCTTCCTTATTGAAAAAAAAAAACCAAACCGGTTTTGGCAGATTGGCAGAATAAAAGGTCAGTACCCGCTGAGCATTCTGCTACACTTTGTAATAATCAACAACAAAATAACAGACCAGCCTCAAATTTTAAAGTAGATTTTTCGCTACCAGCTGAAGTTGCACCTGCAGAAGAGAATGATTCTTAAGGCCTTTTTCTGTTCCAAGTACTGTGATTTCTTCTCTCTCTTTCTAGGCTTGCTAATTACTTGATTGGTATAAACTAACCAATAATAACTGGAGTTGTATTTGATACAACTTCTGTTACATCATTGCATGGAAAGAGCAATCCAGTATTGCGTTTTGAGTTTACACTACATGTAAAAACTACTTCAAAATGAATGTTACAGCAGCTAAGTCAGCACAGAGGCATAGGGAAATTTTCAGATCTCTCTCCCCCATATTTGTTTTCCCTATGCTTGCCAGGAGTTGGAAGAGAAGTAGATTGGTTAACTTTGGGTCTCCATGCCCAAGAGGTTGGTCCCTCCCAGCTTTGCAGTGGGGGGGATCCTCCAACAGGAGGACTCAGAGAAAGTTTATGCCTTAGATACTGGATCACACAGTGGTTTTGCATCTCTTACTTATAAACTGACATGGGAATTCCCTTCATGCTATTTGGTTATTAAGCCATCAAATATTTTGATTCCATTCATCACTCCAGGGACACAATGCTGTCACTGACCACTACAGTCTCTCCCATTCCCAGTTTCATTGCCCACCCAGTCCTACTCTTCCTCTTTCCTACTTTCACCATCCAACCTCTTCCCAGGCACTAAAGTCTATATCTCTATGATGTTACCCAGATTCTCCCATACTACAGTTCGTGCATATAGCAAACACTGCAAGTTGCTATGTGATTGTAATAAACACGTTGATACACTTCCCAGAGCTCTCTCTACTATTTCAAATATTAGACCAATCTGCTGCTTAAAAGAAAGCTGCAGAACTAATGAAGTTGTTCTTTGCTGCTATGGATTTCTATCCTATGTCCTATCTCTTTCTGCACCTTGGTAATCAAAGATTATTTCCTTATACAATCTACAACCTCACTTCTCTTACAGAGTATTTTCATATCCTCCCCTCAATACTTTGTCTCATATTTGTTCAGAAGCTAAGGAGTAGCTCATAACTAATCACCATCTAAACACTAACTGATTCACCAGCATACCAAAGGTAAGAGTAAAATAAATTCCTGCTACAGTTTCTATCATTTCAAGCAATGATTTTTAAAAGCTTGCAGTATTTAGGAAAGCTCTACTCCTCCATCATGTTTGGATGACATAAGCTGCCCAAAGTTCTTCTGTGAACCTTACTAAAAATCAATCCACTGACTGTTCTTTTTCAACAAAATACCCATATCAGAATCTAAAGTGTATACAATTCAATGATGAATTGTGTGGGTTAATATCACTTTGTGGACACGGTTGTATCTACATGTAACATAAACTGTTTAGAAAAGGGGAATTTTCCTTGCTGTAAACAGGGAAATTTTGCTTTAAAAATACAGCCAAATTTCACAAACCGTGCTCACAATGTGACAATCTCAGATATTTGGCCAAATAAATTTTACAATGTTTGCAACATGCTTGCAGGAAAGAAAAGATTAACAGCGAGGAATTAATTTAATTTGGATAATTCTAAAGTATGGTCTTTTATACATTAGAAATTATCATTATTTGCTGATGCTTGCAAGTATAATCTTTAGATGGAACTATCCAATTTCTTGTTCTTACACATTGGCAAGGCACCATTAATTTCAATACAAAACAGTGCCTAACCTGCTGAAGCAATGATTCTCTGCAGCATCATCATGACATGATAATGGCCAGAAGAAATATTTATGACCTGACTTGTGAGACCAAGTCCCACCTCAACGTTCCCCATTATCCCCATTAGTCTGAGAGCTAAACCTGAGGCAATCAGTACTCCACAAAAAAATCCAATTCACTTATGAGAAGCTCCTGCCACCAGGACCAAGTTCATGACCTAGTCCTCAGAAAAGCAACATAGAACAAAACACACAGTGACTGTGCAGCTCCATTAATAAATGAGTCCTGCTAATAAACCACACCAGAAAGGAAGTTCTAGGGTCTCTTTGAACAGCAAGTAAAGTTGCAATCCCCAGTGAAATTACATGTCCCAGTCAGGGACTAGAGAAGAACGGGGAGTGGGAGATGAGGTCAGTACTGAGCCCAACGTTCTGGATGCCAGTGAGGAAAAGCTTGCAGGAAATCAAGGTAAGGGGGAAAAAACACACATTAACTTTAGCTTTTCTAAAAGGCAAGTTCTACAATACTCCTTGTGTGTCAAAGGATTTTATTTCATATATTTAAACTCTAAACACTCAGAGCAGCTTTATTAAAATTAGTCAAAAGCCTAACCCACTTAAATGGGAACATCATCAAGACTTTAATGTGCTTGGAAGCTGTTACATCTTTATTATTGACAATTTCAGCTCATGGAACCCATTCTCAGCCTCTCTAAAGTTGCACTGATTGCATTTGCTTTCTTACAGCTGTTCACTTCAGAGGAACCAAATAGCAACCCAGCAGCTATTTTAAAATGTTCTCTAATTATTATTGTTACCCATAAATGTGTTTCCTGTTTCAGTGTATAAATAGCAAACTGATTATTTACAGTACTTGCACCTGTTGAGAACTAGTCTATCTGTCAGAGAGGTAAAACAAGTAACTAGGCTATAATTTGTAATAATAAACCCTATACATCACATTTCTTTTTTCTAGGAAAAAGAGGTAAAGTTGTACACTTTCTGTATTCCTACCATTTTTTACAGGATTCCAGTTTCCCGTGAAGGAAAGGTAGTGTTCTCAGTGAAATGAACAAGGTTCTCAAGAAAAATGATGTTTTAAAATATAATAGGCTATTCCCTGATAGTCACATGCAAAGGATTGCTCTGTTTCTGCAGCACTGGGGTGAGCTGGGATGTTTATTTTCAGATCATTTCACACTGTGGGACACAGCTTTCTATACTGGACCTAAAGTGACATGAAATAATGGGGACATTACTTCAGTTAATGTAAATCAGACCAGCTCAAAGATCAATAACCTCTGTCCCCTCTCTTTGGGTACTGCCGAGCAATCCATGTTTCTCCTGCCTTGTCCAGGATGGTGGGATGGGCTGCTGTGCCTTAGGATGGGTGACACAAATTGTCACTGGGGATTAGGCAGTGCTGCAGGCAATTTGCAACCAGATATTTTCTTACTCTTTCTGCTTAAGTGATGAACAGAACAGAGCATTTCTGCAGAGCTCAGTGCAGCTTCTGGAAATGATTCACAGATCTCAGTTGTATCTCAGCAATGTCAGATGCCAGAGAGATCTATTCTGGTAAACACAGTGCCAGGGAAAAGCACTTCTCACTGGAGGGTACATGATCAATTACTGCAACACATTACACACCCAATGACTCATTTCTAGACAGCAGACAGTTTCCCACACGAGGCCTGCACACATAATACTGAAATTAGGTATTCTTGGCTGATAATCTTTGTCTCTCTTTGCTATTCCTTTCCCTTTCATTTTCTCCCTGCTGAGGCCCGAGGAGGTTTGGTTTAGAAGGCATTCCTCCTCCCTGGTCATGCATACACAGCATGGGTGAGCAGAAAGATTATAACCAAAAGGAAAGCACTCTGAAATGTTTATGATCATAATTTGACAAGCAAAAGTTGTACAGCTGTGGCAATTTTGAACATTTTCTCTGTCCCCTTTCCCCCATCCATGGCATTAGATAGAAGAAACATTTCCTGTCTTATCACAAAAGATGCTTAATTTTAGATTTAAAAACGAATCAGATAGAACAATGTCAATAGCTACTCAAGGTCAACTCTGTGTGCTGTATTTGAGCTCAGCTGTGACCTTCTTTGATGACAGAGGTAATCAGGTGCAGCAATAGGGGTTTATCAGAGCTTGCTGAATATACAGCACAGGACAATGATGCTGCTTGGCCCATAGAGTTAATTGTTAATTCCTTTTTGGAATTTAGGACAGTTCATTCAAGCATTTTAACTGTTCTTACCTGATCAACAAAAGCAGAGGGTCTCCTAAACTTTTCCTTGCCTTTTTAAACATAACATCTTTACTAAGGGCTTTTAGAAGAAAAATCCTATTTTTCACCCTGATATGCAGAGCAAACTAAACTAGATAGATTCTGAATAGCTAATTCCTCCTGCTCTACATTTTTTGTATGAAGAAAAAGCAGGAAACTAGCCTTGCTGTAGCAACATAATGCATGAACACTGTTTGAAGTGTCTGGGTTTATGAAAGCAGTAGCTACTGGTGAGTAACAAAGTCATTTCCATAGTACTGTTCTGAAAGTCTCTGATCACTATAAGTTGGGACGTACAGCCAAGGAGGAATCCTTCTGTGCCTGCCCTATTTCAGCTCTATTCCCTGCCATTTCCCTTTGCTGAAGACTTGAGGTGAGGCTTCATTAACCTTTCAGCTACCTCACTGTGGTTGTTGCTTTCCTCACTATCTGCAGAGAAGAAGCCTGAATGAGCCAGTTAGAGCAGGGCACAATAAATAGCAAACATGCAAATCCATCCCACCCACTCTGTGCAGCACATTCACCAGCACATATCAAACCTGAGCACAGATTCCCATTATACTGTAACCAAAAAATTGAGAGTGGACATATCTTCCTCAGGAAGACTTTTTGACTGATATTCCCATGAAAATGAACCAAAATGTCAGTTGTCTTATTTTATATTTTTAGGGAAATCCCACTGTTTTTAATATGTTTGGCAACCAGGCAAGCCACTCAGAAATGCTATAGAAAGACTGTCATTCAGCAAACTGAACAAGTCTGTTCTACACCTGTACACGTAGAGAATTAAAATAGGGTAACAGGTGACCTGTTTTGGTCCCCCATGCTTTATCTCAAAGATGTCCTATAAGGCAACTTTGGATGATTTAAATGCCTTTACTAAGCTCACTAATTATTGTTGGAATTAGTGTAGTTTCAGTGGAAGCATCAGGACAGCTTGCTACCACATTCAAGTTCAAGCTGCAAAGACCAAATTATTGGGTCCTTACAGAAGCTCACAATGAGGAAAGTTTTCCACTTCACATCTGTGCCTAATACAAAGTACATGTTTACATCCCAGACAAGCAAAGCTGGATAGACACACAAGATGAAATCAAATTGGTGTGTGTTTGTTTTTTCCTCTCCACAAAGAGCTTAGGGTGACTGAGGGTCTTCAGGCAGCAAATGCAGCCATTTTAAATTTGGATTTTGCATCCTGAGTGGATGGGGGTAAGATAGGGAAGAAAAATTTTGAATTGACCTGATAATAAGCCCTTATGTTCACTTATAAATTAAACCAGATTCTGTATAGATTACACTTCTAAGAACTATTCTCCCAGTTCTCACAGACCCTTCATGATTTTTAAATTCCCAGTTGCCTTACATCATTTTGAAAACCCAACTCTACAAGGTTAAAAATATCATTGTGAGTTAAAAAATTCCTCCAAGGCAAGGTACTGGTCTTGGAAACTCTCATTGATTTAGCACTGTCTGGATGGAAACTTCCTTCAGCTTCACTTTGCTGTCCTAATAAAACAGGATTTTTCCCTCCCATGTGTTGCACAAAAGTGAGATATTTTGAACCAATGTTTAGGCACTTTCTGCTCTTCTAGTTTTTAATTACAGGTCAGGAAAGCAAATGCATTAACCAACATAAACTGACAAAAATGTTACAAGAGGGTGTGTTACCAGAGAGAGCATCACCTGCTGCTTCTAGGGAGGCATGTTCTAAAGGGGGTGGCTTTACCACCTTCCAGAGCCTGAAATCACTGGGATCCCATTATCAAACATCTCAGCAAAATTAGGCCACCTAGGAGGGCTTTGGGTGAAGCCCATTCACACATCTTTTACTAACAGAATAAAAATCATAATTCCAGAAGTACTGAATATGATATCTCAGGCCTATGTGCCTTATAATTTCTGTTCTTAAACTAAAGAAAGACTCCACAGAGAAACAGTCCTTTAATAACAATAACTTCATCTGGGTAGCTTCCCTGATAGTGCAATTTTTACTAACTATAATGAAATACACAGTCCACATCTTCCCATAAGCTAATACAAAAATAAACTCAGTCCTCCTGAAGATCTCTTTAGGGAAAGAGAAGAGCCTCTCAAACAGAAGAAGCTTTCAAACCTGCCCCTTTGCCAGACAAAAATGCTGTTTTGCTATCATTGGCTACAGAGAACATGAAAGGAAAGGGAATAAGCAAAAGCAATTCATTCCTCAAGATGAAAGTAGATACCTTTTTTGCTTCAGATTTTAAAAGCTTTCAACAGGCATTATTTCCTCTTCTCCACTTTTATATTTCTTTACAAACATAGTCTAAATTAATTTATTTATTTTGACTTAGAAGTTACAGGGGATTTATTTATTTGTAATTTTAAGTGGTGATGCCACACCATCTCTTCTGAATAAAACATGGCATAAAACATTGTCCTTCTTAATGGTCCAGTAGAGCCCACCTGAAAGATATTATCTGAACTAGGGAAGTGAGTTAGCCATGTTTCAAGTATTAGGCTGAACTCTAAATAGTTCATAAATATAAAAGTTAATCTCATAGTAGCTCTTACACAATAGATATTAATTGTACTAATTTCATTCCTTCTAGAAAAGACTAATGCTTAACATTAAATTAGAGGAAAAAAAAATCTATTTTGTATCTCATTTCCAGCTGAATCTTTAGAACCAGAAAAGTAGACTGGGGTTAGAAGGAGGTTTGAAAAAAAAATGCATGTACCAGATAGCCTAAATTGCCTTTGCTGAATGTGAACAATATTCTTTAACTGTTTTTGAGAAGAATAGAAAGATGACAGAAATTGCTGTTGGTACGAAACTAGGTTTGTGGTCTTTTGTTGTTGTTGTTTTTCATGAAATTGAATATTACAAGTCCTATTGCCATCCCATTCTTCCTATAAAGTAAGCAATTTTTTACACTACATACAGTGCTGCAATCTATGCAAATAGCTATCAGGGCATTTCTGGAAGGGGATGATTTTATTCATTTCATAAAACATCAGAACAATGTGTGAGCAAGAAAACAGCAATGTATAAAGGCTTGGCTACCCATAATCTAAATATCTCCAAAACACCTTCAGACTGTCAGCATCCACCAGCAACATATCAGCCTGGAGCTCTGGCACATACAGCCAAACTTTTGTCCACCAGGAAAAGTTGTGCAACCATGACAGCATTGACTACCCTAAAGATACTGCAACATGAAAATCAGGCAGGTCACTGGGACAGTGAGACCTGTCCTGAATTCATAAAACCTATTGTCTGCTCTCATAGTTTAGTGGCTTTTAAAGGGAAGGAGAAACTAAACATATAGCAAAATAATTATTTGCAGGCAGTCTGGTGAATATGTACATTACAGAAAGCTGCAGGATATCGAAATCTTGCATTTTAGGAATCTTATGGCTTACTATTGCAGGCTGACTCCAAATTGCTGGGTAGGCAGAGGTGGCTGTGGTGGAGGAACCTTAATCACAGGTGGAAGTTATCCCTTCTGTTTCCTCCAATGATTTTCATCATGTCTGCCTAAAAAATCAAGATCTCAGTGATATTCTGTGCACTGCAGATGACAGACTGCACATGTGAACAGCAACAAGTATTGCTCATTATGCTGATCTCCTGACAATAGTGTATGTGCTGCAGGTTTTACAGAATTTCAGCATGAGGAATTTTTTAAGTAGTATTTGTGGTGGAATAATTAAGCAAGATATAGAAGAATCTTTTTGCTTCAGCCAGTGGAGCAGAGGAATAAATGCGCCCAAAAATAGAATCACACTATAATTTAACAGCAAAGTTAAAACATTTTTTCTCCTCAAATTACAACTCTTTTTTCTTTGGCAACCATGCAATCCAATTTATAATCTCAGAGCACTAAGGTATTTTCTGTTATCCCATATTTCCACAAAAGGTGTGTAAAAAGCCACCAGGCATCAATAACATTCATAATCAAAGCTTCCTGTTACTTTCATTCAGCAGTGACATGAAATCACTTTCTGTCAGTACATCAAAGCATTTCCATGTAAAGCACCATGTTAGAAAGACTTATTGATACTAATACTGGCACTTGACTACCCCAGCCCTGTGCAGTTCCTTTCCTTTTCATCTCCCATCCACTCTCAAATACTTCCCCCTAACACACACAAATATACATCACATAAACATAATGGACCCACTAACAACAGATACATCCATAAAGTTTAAAATCAATCAACACTTTGCTGACTGGGAATGCTCTTCATAAAAGGAAGTCAATCTGTTCCAATACATAAGGAAAGAGGTCAGGATTACAGTTTTGCCCAAGAAAATTGTATGATACTCATAAGCAGCAATGACATACAGATTGGTTCTGCTAACACTCCCACAGAAGTAGCAATCATATTAAGAAAATGCTCCATGACAGAGATGGAGTTTTTCCAAATCTGTAGAAAACTAAACACCTGATGCACTTCAGTATGTCTGTGATGGCAATGCAGCTTTCAGAATTAATCCAGCCCAGCACAAACAGGTAAATTACACTTTTAATCACTGAAGAAATAGATTATTCTTGGAATACAGTGACCAGGATGCAACTCCACCTGAGAAAAAAGTGAGGCAACGTATATTAAATTTTAATTCTTGAGGGATATTTGAGATGTTCTCCCAGGTCGCCTAAATAGTTCAAGCAGGTGATCTTTTTCCCAAACTTGTGGCTAAAAGAAAAAATAAAAAAAATCACAAAGTAGTACAAAAATTAGCATGGGAGGAATATTTATATAGAGTTTAGTTTCTAATTCTACAAAAATGCAAGTGCTGGTGCAACTCAAAATTAGACTGTAATTGAAGCACCAGGAGACATAAGATATATTTCATTCCATATGATTAAACACATACAGTGCATGCCTGAGAGTCTGATTTGAATAAAAATAACTGACTTCCATCTGAATGTTTTGTGATTTGCACAGATATGAAAAGCATCACTTTGAAAGGCACTGGAAGCTAGGTTTCACACAGCATTAGAAAGCTCACTAAAAGAACCATTAACCTTGGAGAGAATGTTACCCAGCCGTCAGAACAATATGCTTGTATTCTGTAGGTATTCCACTCTGCAAGAAGACAAAATAATGGGGATGTAGAAATAAACTACAGAGTAGTTAAGCAATAGGTAAAATTTTCAAAGCATTTATAGTGCATACCCTTGAAGTGCTGGGCCATCAGCTTTACACCTTTTGAAAAGGACTGGATAGCCTCTAGTAAACACCAGGAATAGTATTTTTTTTTTTTTTTATTTTCTACAAGTTGTACAAAACAGAGTTCCAAATTTGAAGCTCCAAGTATCATTAGTTAGGTCTGGAGTTTCAGCCAGAATACACGACAATATGAGCCAAGGTGTTCAAACAAGGGTCAGGGACGTGTTTTATACATATTATCTGAAATAATGTCTTATTTTTCCAGAACGCAAAATATCTGGACTGTAATGAAATGTCAAGAAAAAGAGCAGGTGCTGATGGTAAGAAGTGTACTTTGCTGCAGCTTACTTTCCTAATAAAATTGGGGGAAATCTCTGGCATGGATGAGTTTATCCCCGGACTGTCCAATCCGGTGCACAGGCTCCCTCTAGCGGTACGCGGAACAAACAGTCCCTTCCCGGAATTCTGACAACAGGAATTTTGGGACACACGAGGAATATCGTTCTGTGCATGCACAATTTCAGAGCTCTCCAGGGTGTCTTTTATCCAAAAGAGACCGAACTTCCAAAATCTTCTCTAAGCCACAGTTGAGCACACAACTCTGTAACTAATGACCTCTGGTAATAGAGGACATGTCACAGAACCCACAATATGTAAAAAATGTCATGGGCAATTAGGAATAAGTGCTGCTCCTTAAAAATGCTACATCACCACTGCCACCTAAATGTACATTTACATTTACAGTATATTTAGAGTTCTGTTAGCTCATAGAAATATGGTCTTCCTACAGTTATCTTGCACTTTGGAGAAAATGTTGACACATTACTTCTTGCTCGTTTCTTTTGGGACTGGAAAGAAGATCAATCCACTTCAGTAACTTGAAAACTTTCAATTATTTACATTTTATTAAATACTACCAAATACAAGTATGCTAAAATACTTCATTCTAATAACTGTCATTTGTTCAGTTGTTACCAAATACATTGTCATTTAAAAGTACTGAGGCCATGTGCTAACAGGTACCAAATGTACTAACAGGTCACTGAGAAATACATACATGCCTCTTAATAATGAAATCTATTTTACATCTGTTATTTTATCTACACCATCTACAAATTAGTCTGGGCTATAATTCAGCAAAGCTAGGAAACAAACTCTAGAGGATTTTTCTCCCTTATTTTTGTGAACTGGATTAATATTGACACTTAACAGTATGATTTGCCAAGATTAGATTAGTCTAAACCGGAATGAAAAGGTACCATGAAAAAAATTTAAATTGTACTACTCTAGTAAATTAACAATACTACTAAGTTTTAGTCTTCAATGAAAATATAATTTAGCCAAATTGTACATGGGCTGTTTCACTCTTAGTAACCCAAACTTTTTTTACAAACCCAAACTACAGTCAACCTGAAAAGCAAAGGCATGGCTGGCAATTAAACCAAATTAAATTTTAAGTGTAAAGAGAGTTTTTCCCTAGCTTCAGCGGATTCCTGCTTTCTGGCTTGTGGATCTTTTCAGAGTTTACACATACTTTCAATTATTTTGTGAGTCCCAGTGTACAAACAGTTTTGTTGCTGTTGGTTGCAGATTTATAAAACAGATAATAGACTACACTCAAAATAAATAGCACTCAAAACAAGTATCCAGGTACACAGTAGTAAAAGTCAAGTACAAACAGAAAAAAACAATTGTGATGAAAATGGGGTGATCAGAAGGTCAAGATTCCATCTAAGATGACAGACATTAGTTTTAATTATTTATGCTTGATAGAAATGCTTAAGTGTATCAGGATCATTCATTTTTCAACTGCCAGTGTGTCATATTTTCCTAGAAAAAAAAACCAAGTTAGACATAGTAAGATCCAGGGAAAATAAGTAGTTGCAATGGGTACCTGTAAACTCATACTTTTTAAGAATTAGCAGGCAAATATTGCTGTAAGTCAAATAGTACCACTCTTGTTCACCTATGGCTCCACTGAGGGAATTAACATGCACAGGCTGAAAATCACTGGTGTCCCAAAAGCATCTGCTTGGAGCTGTGCCCAAGGAGCTCTCAGCTAACTCTGAGAAAGGAGATGGTTTCATCAGAGTATTGTAATGTCCATCAAGAATATTTCTGGGTTAATTGTTGGGTTTTGTTAATTGTTTTGTTTGGTGGTTTTTTGTTTTTTTTTTAGGAAGTTTCCATACCCATGCTAAAGCAAATCAGGAATAAACAAATCAACAACAAAAATAAATCCACCTCCATTCCTGAGACACCATCAGGTACTGGACGTCCTGCTTCTGTCACACTTTTCTCACCACTGCTCTATGTCTGGGACCAGTGACCTTTATTTTACTGCCAGTTAAAATAAAGATCTAGAGGTAGTCTTCTTGTTTCAAGAACAGCATATTCTGGAATGATTTTTAGTTATAATTACTTTTCAAAAAAATTTTCACATGCACCTTATTTGTCCTGATCTGTCTAGAAGTTAAATTTCCCTTTCTACTTAATTAGCTTTCTGCCACTCAGAAACTGAATCGATTGCAAGTTACTGTAGTGGAAATTTTTGGCTGGTTCATTATGGCTTTTCAAGATTAGCTGTTTCCATCCTGCAGCCCCAAGAATATTCATGATATGATTTGAAAAATGTCTGAATTTCCTTGGAAGTGACAAAAGTTGAGAAGCAGAAGCTGAGCAAGCCCCACCATTCATGCACATAGCAGTGTCTGCCCATTGCTGGTAGCACCAATTTTTACCATGCAAAGGAAAACACCCAGTAAAATACATCACCTTCACCATTATATCCTCCTTTTCAAATTCCTATGGGCACTTCAGGGATTATCCATTAACTTTGAGAACATAAGTAGTGTCAGTCCTATTCATCCCAACCCAAAGGTTCATCATTCATCATCCAATTTACTGCACCACCCAGTAACTCCAGTCATGCACACAGTTGCATTTCCCTAAGTGCTGTCAAACAACAAAAAAGTCATTTATAGTCCATGGAATAAGCATGCTTTAAAAGAGATATTTACTTGAACATACCAGCAAAACTACTAGGTATTGAGACTCCCTTTTCTTGGAAAGAGAAGAACCCTTCCCTATTCATTTCCAAGCTTAAGCTCACCTTATTCATTAGTTCAAGACAGTTTAAATGGGTGTTGGGCTGTTACCTGACATGTTTTACTTCAAGCCTTTTTAAAAGCAACTTATTAGAGAACAAACCATCCTTGAACTGAATGGGGAAAATGTGTTCAATGAATTGCCAAGTACCTTATAAGAGGTTTAAAGATATTCCACAGAATCTTTATGAAGTTGGTTGGATGGACAACATAGAGTGCTTTAAGGTTTTTCTTGTACCTAGGAAAAGAAAATGAAATTGTTAGAAAAATGTTAAGTGCCAGAGATGGTAGAACTGAAGAGCTACAATAGAATGGAAAGTTATTATTACAGGCATATTACACAGTATTCTTTTCAAATACTGAATTTAAAAGACCTAATTCAGAAGAAATTGAATGTAAAATAATTTTTTTTTTAAAGTAGATTTTAAAAACTGGTCAGTTTTGACAATAGGCCAAACTAACTGCTATGTTCCTAACCACTGTCTGCTGTCTCACAGATTTAGTATCAGGGAGGCAGAACAGGAATTAGGCAATTTGAAAAAAAAAAAAAAAGATAGGAGAATGAAGGATCTATAAGGAAATCTTTGATTAAAAACATTACTTTTTTCATATCCCTTTATGTTCTGCTTGCAGGACTTTCATGTTGGAAAAAACTTTACAATTTTCAGATACAGAATTTTTACCTAATTCTTTAATTTTGTCCTGCTTTGCTAGTAATTACTAAGGGTGAAGCCAACTGCTAGTTGTTTGATATTGCATTGTGCCTTTTGTATGAAACAAATCCTTCCTTCATTATTGCTTTGCTTGATTCTACAGTGTTATTTTATGATATCTCAACAATAGATTAGTTGGCTGAAACTGAAATAGAAACCAGGCAGGACAAAAAGACTGTTCTCATATTCAACAGTATTGCAAAATTAAATTGAGGCATGCACATTGGAATATCCTGCTTTTACATATAGATTTTTGCTTATTACTTTGCCAAGTTTGCTTCCCAGTAGGCACAATGATCAGGGAAAAATATGATCATGAACTCAGGAAACTCAGGAATTACATGTATTTTTCCTTTTGGTTTTTAATTGGGCCCGTACACTTGTGAATGAAACAGGCACTGTGTGTGTTCACAAAGCCACTGCCACACAGAAGCAAACAATTATCCCTGAGCAACTGGCACTACTGTGCCCTATGAGCCCAAAATCCACAATAAAAACTAACAAGCAAAACACCTGAGTTGCTTTACTCAGGTTTCTATTTTAACTTTGTTTTGCACCTTGAAGCACCTTGAAGTTAATGTTCTTCAGTTTCCTAGATTAAAATGTCCAAAAGACTTTACTGAGCCTCTGCTGTGAACCTTCAAAGCAAGATCTATTCTTTTGAAACTACTCCTATTCAAGATTTGCTTTCATGATGCTGGCTAATTACTCTTGTCCTTTGTACTCTCATCTGCCCTCCCTTTCCTTTGACCCCAGAAGTCTGAAAAGGGCTGGTTTTGTATTGTTGGGTGTTTTCCCCCTGACTAGTACAGTATTCCATACATGTTGGCTGGGTAATTTGCTTTGAGTTGTCAATGCCAGTATGCCAAGTTCCAACTGTTAATAAAATGACAGGTTCTGCCTGATGACCTGAGCCTCTGTGTTTCCTTTGTTCTGTGTTTTCTGGGTCAGGGTGGGGGAATAGAGACAGATTTTTTTGAATAAATGAGAGTCTTATCATGCACTTGTAGGCAACAAAAAAGCCAACAAAAATACCACTGACCTTGTACTGCTTCTCCCCATAACACAACTCTAAATTTAGCTTAAGTATCTCTCAAAAGGAGAAGAGTGCAATGATTTGGTCTGGAATTGTCAGTGCATGTCAAAACCCAGTATTGCAGTCCAAACCTCTCGCCAAAGATAAAATATGACAGCCCTTTGCCTTTCCTCTCTTTTACCAGTCCTAGAAAGAACAGGTACAATGTACTACCTATAGTCAGTCATGTTACCTTCCTGAGGCCAACTTACAAACAAAAGACTGATGTCAATGGGGACTGGCTGCTCCATTGGTAACTTCACACATTCAGGGAACAAACATCACAACTCTGGTCTCCACTATAAAAGTGCAATTTATCCAAGAGCTTTCACCTCAACTATACCCATCAGTACTCCAAAGTTCAAGTACATTCAACCACAGATCTTGGTTTTGTTGCCATGGCTTTTCATACCTTTGGATAACCACTGCAGCACCCAGGCCACTCCCCAGTACTGCACAGAAGACAACAAAAGAACCAACAGCATTATAAGAATTTGCAATGGCAAAGTGAACTCAGTTAATTGTGGGTGGATCAGGACAGATCTACCTAACTTCTTTCATGGAAGTTAGTTATAGACATTACACCATCTGAAGAGTAAACCAAGTCTTTTAAAGATTATTTGCTGTCAAATTCCTGGTAGGCTGTTTGCAGCCATTTCAGAGACATTTTATTCAGACTCTTCAGGTCATAGTGAAAGTAGACAACTGCATAATAATTCTCTACATACTGATCCAGAGTATACTTTAAGTACATCAGGAGAAAGATAACATTTTGGTTTTAATCAGTTTACTGGATGAGATTTTCGAAGCAGTAACTGGGAAAGAAAATGTGCTATTGTTGCACAGAATACTAGTGACTGCAAATTCATGTTTGTTTCAAATTATTTGTCTAAGAAGTTCATATTTCTCTAGTGGCAAATAATTTCACATTATTGCAATGCCTGAAATTTTAAAGAAAATATTTAGTTATAAAAACTGCAGTGTCGATGAATCACTTAAAAATGAAGACAATATGGGACTGTGTTTGCCAAGAAATTTTTAAAGAGATGCATTTTAACTTAAAGAAACCTTTCTTTTGCTTTTCTCAGTCTTTGTAAAGCCCTTCTTTTTAGATAACCAAACAACGTAATCTTGCATTTTCAAAACAATTAAGAATGTTTTGGGCTTTCCTCTCAATTTAAAAGTTTCTAAATCCTTGAAAAATCCATTACCCCTAATTAAATTGCTCTTCTTGAATATATTTATCTTTCCCTTGTTTACATTGTGAGGACTGAGTTTGTACATCATTTCCCTTAAATTTAATTTAAATCCCTTAAAACTGATTTAAAGAATTACATTACGTATCCCATCTTGAAATAATGCTGCATGTTTTATAAGCAGATTGCTGTGTGTTCATTCTTTTACAGTATAGTTTAAGATGATTTTCATTCCCTTTCTTCTACAATTGAGAACACAGGATGGCCTATTACACAGCTCAATGACTCAAATAAAGCAATGATGGAGCAGTGCAATCTAGCCTCATTTCTTGCTGTGTCAGGTTTCAAATTTCTCATGTTATTCTCATTGCTATCTTCTTATTCTGCAACGGCCCCAGCTATTGCTCTTAATTGTATGTAAGTGGTTTTCATTCAATAAAGCAGATAGTTCCATGTGCCATTTACTGGGCTGTGACTATCTGCAAGTATGAAGAACACTTTGACTATCTCCCTTTGCATAGAAAAGCCCTTCACTTCTTACCCTGTACTCCCACAGTCTCATTTATCTTATTCCCTCAACATACTGCAAATCTTAGACTGCAAGTATCTTGCAAAAAAGAATTGCCACTGCAATTAATGTAATGCTGTTTTGATCCCTGATTTGACTATTAGTGGTATTTTAATGGAAAAAGCAGTAGTGACAGTCAATCAAGACCTTTTTCTAAGAGTTTGAATATACCTAAATAGATATTGCTACAGAGTGCCTCGTGGTTTATTTTACAGCATGTAAATTCATTGTTACATTGCACCCAGAAAACATATATTTTTAAAAATAACAGTGTTTTGGGGGCATATAATAACCAGTATTTTTCTACCGTCACTTATCTGTTCCAGGACTGTAACAGAATTGTAGGGACATTACAAAAGCTTTACCAAATCAATTCTTTAAATGACTTCATTACAAAATACCTAGCAATCAGGCCTACTCCTTTCCTACAGCTTTTTCTCAGAATTCAACATCTGAATCTAATTACCTAAAACCAGATCACTTGATAGCTATATTGCTACCTTCACATTCAATTTGCCTTCAATTCTCACTTAGGACAGATTTTCCAAGTGAACTTGATGTGGGCTCAGATACAGGAAAACATGCTGTGAAGAGTAAAAAAAATGAATCAACACACTCTCAAAATTATTCCTTAAGTAACCTGTCTTTTAATCCCTCTCCATTTCTAAGAAATGGAAACAATAGCATTTTTGTCCTTTCCAGTGGTGGAGTTTGAAAGGTACTCAAGCATTTTGGTAATGGAGGCTGTACAAGAACTCTAAATAGGTTTAAAATGCTTAATAAGGACTCTCAGGAAAAAAACAGATCTCCTTGCAGTGACAAACTACAAGGCAGAAACATGTCCTGGAACCTTGCTGCAGCAAGTTTATAAGGAAGAATATCGTTAATTCACATATTCACAACTCCTTTTAACACAAAACCCCCCAAATTATATACATATAAAGATGTTCAGCATAATGTACTGAATGTAATGCAGGTAATTTTATAAAACAGAAAACCCGCTAAGATGCAAATAACTAAACAATATTCTTCCTGAGTGATTTAGGTAAAGTACAGCAAATTAAAGTAAACACAGCTATTCATGAGAACATATGTATATAGCACTAAATTACTAGAATTTCTATTTCATTGGTCCACATCATGAATTCTTTTTTAAAAATACAATAAGAATTTGTCAGTAAAATCAAGACAGCAAGTACACATGAATTGCTTCTTCCAGTAGAGACTCCAGGTGAGTTAACTGGCAGTTTTATCCACATTTCATTCACTTAATATTAACACTAGTCTTACATCCTCTTTTCATTTCACTCCTTGCTTATTGCTTCTCCTTCCTGAAAGCTCATTCCCCTGGAAGCAAGCTAGCAGAAGTTCTTGTATAAAGTGTAAAGTAGTCCATGCAGGAGATGAAAAGCAACTTACTCAAGCAACCTTGTGTGATTGCGCTGATGGGATGGGGACATGCAGCAGCAATTGATGGTAATCACCTTCCTTCCAGAATTGTCATCACCTGTAAACAAGACAGTTGGTAAAGACAATATTCAATTACTTACAGGACCTCATGTGTCTGAAAAAATGGTGTGGATCTTCTGATATTTGAGGCTACCTCTATCTCCTATTGTTACCCAGAACATCCTGTGAAACTTCACTGTCCAGTCACAAGCTACCTGCAGAAAGCTGGGCAAATGAAAAGGCAAGGCTCAGAAAGTTATATGTAGATGGTGGTGGTGCTGCTCAGCTCCAGACAAGGAACACTTAGGTCCTCTTGGAGCATTCAGCTATGGAAGAAAACAGGTCTGCTTACTGAGCAGTCTTGAAAATAACATGTTTTCAAACTCCTCATGCTTTGTTTTTGGAGTTTATTAGAACAAAACACATTAGGCATCTGCTTTATCACACATGTAAGTTGGATGGTTTTTAACCAACTTAAGTTTTCTTAGATACTCTCTTCCAGAAGCTCTGCTACACTAAGATCACATCGAAACACAACAAGGCATTCAAGAATGATTTGCCTGCCCTAAAGACCTGTAGGTATACATCCCTTAGTCCTCTGATAAAGCACATATTGCTGCACTCAAGTTCATTTGCTCTTTGACTCATGACAGCTTCACCCACACTGTCTGTACACACAAGGCTGGAGTTTGTGCCATGCCCACCCCACAGGCAAGTTCCACTACATGGCAGGCAAACAGAGGGTATGTCAGGCTCATCCTATAGGTCACTTGGCACTGAAGACAGTGAACTGCTCAGATTTTAACTTCTATCTACATGAGTTACACCATTCCTTTTAAAGGAATACAGAAACATTCCAGAAAACAGATAGACTGAATTATTCACATTTAATACATTCTTGGTCTAATTTCCATGTTCCAACTAAAGGATATTTAATATCTTGCTTCTATTACCACTGAAACACTGACGTTTGATATCACTAGGAGTAAAAGAAAGTCAAGAAATGGGGTTATTATTTATAATTAATTTCTTTCCCTTTCACCCCCAATTAAGTAGCTGTAATGAATAAACAAATAAAGAGTAAAATGGAGGAAGTTAAACTGCAACAGAATCAATTAATGAATATATAAAATCATATGAGCATTTTTATGACAACTGGGTAGAGCAACTTCAAAAATGCTAAACCATGCTAATTTGTACTAGTGATCAAACTACTTGATCTGCAAAAGCAAAACACTTTCCAGCACTGCAAACACACATTTTCCATTTCCAACTCAGGAAGAAGTGGCTGTCCTCACCTGACATATTTCACACTAAGAAAAAAATCCTGCATTTGCCTTGTCCAAGTCAACAGTCATGACAGGACAGCATGTATTTAAACCCATTCCATTTCAGGTGCCAAAGGAGAAAACAGAGGGAAGCTATGAGATTAGCAATTACTTTTCACATATGAACATGGCCTGGGAGACATCTTCTGCATTATCAATTCCAATCCTGTGTCATCACAAGGAAGTGAGCCAGATAATCCTTCCACTGATTTGTCATGCTTTATCTTAAAAACCAGTTAAGTTTTTTCTGTTTCATGCACCTCCTGCTCACTGATTTGACAACTAGCAACCCATTTTCTCAATTCCAGTCTGAAAGCCATTTTCAATTTGTACAAATTTGTTCTTGTGACAATATCTCTCAGCTGAAGCAGTGCTTCTCCTTCAGCACTATTATCATCCCAAAGGACTCCAGGCAATAACCACATTCCCTCCCAGCCCATGCTCTACTGCTTGTAAACAGATCACACCTTCTATCTCTCCCCTGACATTGGTGTGCTCTAGTCTGCTCCAACCTGAACAGGTCTTTCCCAAGTGACAAGAATTATATGATAAATTTCAGATGAACATCACACAGGGATTTTAAATCTTTCCTAATGATATCCACATTATTGTCTTTACTGAGAAAAAATGAAGTAATAATTTAGCTTGACAGCTGGATTATCTCCGATAGCCACCCCACTCTTATTTCACAGAAGATCTTTTTTTTTTTAATTTTAAAAACTAAGAACCTTTTCCTATTTGCTTTAACATCTTCTAAAGATCTATCTCAGCTTGAATTTTGGTGCTTATCACTTCAGTCCTATAGTTTTAGACAAAACATAGATTTCTCTGCTGGCTGACTCTTTTCTCCTATACTTTTTTTGGCTGGCTACTTATTTTTAGTATCATCGTCAAATGGTTTTTTTCCATACCACAAGGCCTGATGTCCCTTCCCATGTTCAAAATAAATTCTGACTCCTGGGTTAAGTAAGGAGCTTGAGCACCACTAAAGAGCACACACCACCACAATTATATATACCCAGGTATGTCAGCATATTGCTCTTAAACAGACCATAATTTATTTCCTGATGTTATCTAAGTGTCTTGTTTTATATTCTCAAAGTACTTATAAAGGCATTATAATGTGACATGCATTAATAGGAATGATGTATTAAAATTAAAATATTAATATGATTGCTTTCTAAATCATGACTTGTTTGTGAAAAAATTGTTGTGCTCCAATGCACTCCAGATTTGGATGGCACAGCACTTCCTAACTGCTTCTTGCTAATGGAAAGATTTTTATTTTTCTAAGGAAAGAGCTCATTCCAATTTGCAAATGAGATATTTCAAATGCTGTAATTTTTACATTAATTTTCCAAGAGATTTTGTTCTGATGATATTAAACATTATTATTTTACAAGTGAAAAGTGAAATATTTTCCTTTACTGAACCTTGTTATGATCACTTTACAACAAAACAAAATCCTCAAGTCAATGGAAGTTTTTCTGATGGGTTTCAATGGAAAAAGAAGTAAGGTCAAAATCCAGAGGACTTGCCAAGCCAGTGAAAATACTTGCTTTCATATTTTTTTCTTTAAGACAATTTAAGCTAGGAAAAATGAACTTAAAACTAAATTACACTTGTTTAAATGGCGAGACAAACTGTGCTTTCAAGCTTCCTACTCTCTACAATTCACAGAAATATAAGGTCATCAAGAAGTCATTATTAAATACCTCTGTTTTGCCTAGACTGAATAATGGACAGTAAATACACCCACAGTTAATCCATTGTGAGTCTCTGTTCATCCAAAATGGCCAACTTCTTAGCCAGTTAAAAAAAAAACAGTCAAGACACCACAGCTGAGTCTCAATATTAACAGGGGAAGCTCATAACTAGCTGTAGAGATGAGTCCTCTTTCCCTTTGGGCATTGGTCATCTCAGCTGATGATATGAAAATGTAATGCACCACATATTATCCAGCTTAAGGATGAAGTATTAAAACAGCCACTGTAATATTTATTCTTTGAGACAGAGACCAGAACCACCATGGAAATATGGAGAATGACACCAAACTAAATTTCTAAATTTCAAGAGTGAACTAATTTTGATTTCACAAAGCTTCCTCTTTCTACTCATTCCTCTGGATTCTACTCATGCCCATGTGTACTTAAAAAACAACTTTCTTTGAGGGGATTGCACCTGTACTGCACCTGGCTAATTCTGGAAAGTGCTAAAACTGCAGTTCAAATCAAGTACATGCTCAGTTGTTTTCCTAAACAAGAATGACTATAAGCCAACTTTCAGGAAGACTTCCCACATGAGGAACCTGCTTATTATGCTCAGAAAGCCAAGATTCCTCATCAAAGATTTCTCCATGAGCAGTTTTTCTCTTAAAATTTGTATAACGAAAATATTTTGTCAGAAGACATTTTCTTCAGATCAAATGAAAGCAAAGAGACATCTTGGTTTCTGATGTAATTAATTATTTACATTTCATCTGTGCTCTTCTTAAGGTATGTAAAGTAAGTTGAAATGAGGATGAGTTAAAGCCATTCCTGAAGTCAGCCTCTGTAATGTCCACACAGCTGTGTCTGGCTGACTCTCTGGACTAGTTTGAGAAGGGACACTGAACATCAAAAACATTTTCAGTGATGCAAAACCAATTTTTTTTATAATTTTGATAATTCATAGAAAGCATAAAAGAAAACTTAAGGAAAGCAAAGAAACAACAGAATAGTCAAATAGAAATGGAATATAATTTATATTGACTTGGCAAAGGGGCAACAGTCCAGGTTTTTCTTTTACATTAGGTCTATTTGGGTGCAGAATGACCTGTGCTGTATCTTCAGGATACCCAAACCTAAAATGAACTCACATTCACATCTGAATTTGGCACTTTAGGTCATGATTTATTTTAGCAAGCCTTTTTGCTTAAGAAATGATGTTTAAAGGAGATGCATTATATTTTTTCAATTTCAGCAAGAAAGGATGTCCATATATTTTAATATAATTAACTAAGTTTTGTCTTTAAAAAAGAAGCTATAACTTACAGCGTGATATTCAAAGAGAGAAATGCAGTAAATAAGAATTTATTTCCTTTCACATTCTGAGAAAAACACATGCAGAACGTGGAAAATCCAAATTTAACTTCTGCCTGAAGGATTTGAACCAAAGTTTCTATCACTCAGACAAGTTTCCTCTTCACTAGAGCAGGAAATGTTTTCCATAGATAGCAGCATTTACCTTGGAGCTTCTCTTGTAGCTACTAAGAGGAAAACAGAACAACACCCAAATGATTTGGACACTCTTTATAAAGTGCAAAGCCCACATTAAAATCTGCTCTTGTGTGACAAATAGGTCAGGAACCAGGGCCCTCAGCTTCCTTAGTGAGATGCACTCAGGTCTTGGGTATCTCCAGTTGATTTCGCTTTCCCCAAAAGGGTACTCATGGAACAAAGTCAGAAACACTGGTTTCAGGAATACACTTTGAAAATTCAAAAATTGAACTAAGTAAATCTTTTAAGAAGAAGAAAAAACATATTTAAACACAGTTCTTTCCCATGACACTGCAATCTACAGACCACAGATCTGCTCCTGAAGGTATTGCAAGAAGTAGCAAAGCTGTCTCTGATATGACTGAAAATTATTAGATCTTGTGCCTTAAGGTAATTAGATAAGTCACTACAATTTCTCCTTACATGTTAAAAAACCTAAATTACAAATTTACCTTTCACAGTCTGATCCACGTTTTATTCT